CAAGAAGGAGGCTCCCGAGACGGCACAGGAGGACCCCCCGCAGAGCCCCAAGAGGCAAAAATCGTCCCCATTCCCTCCGGAAAACGTATCTTTGCCCCATGTTCGTTTTGTTTGCACATTCGCCAAGACGGCTGCACAGGCCCCCAAGATCGCCCCAAGACGCCCCCAGACGCATCCAGGAGGGTCCCAGAACGGCCCGAGACAGCCCCGGGACGGCTCCAGAGGCGCCCGAGACGGCCCAAGAGGCACCCAAGACAGCCCCAAGAGCGCCCAATAACGAGCCAAGATGGCCCCAAGACAGCTCAGAGACGCTCATGAGGGCGCCCGGGCGCCCTAAGAGGACCCCAAGCGAGCCCCAGGATGGCCCCAGCGGCCCTCAAGGCAGGCCCGGAGGCCCCCGAGACGGCCCAGGAGGATCTCCAGGAGAGCCCCAAGAGGCAAAAATCACCCCATTCCCTTCGAAAACGCATATGTTTAATATGTTCCTTCTGTCCATCTGCACATTCGCGAAGACGGCTGTACAGGCCCCCAAGATCGCCCCAAGACGCCCCCAGACGTCCCCAGGAGGGCCTCAAAACGGCTTGAGACGGCCCCGGGACGGCTCCAGAGGTGCTTGAGACTGCCCAGGAGGCACCCAAGACAGCCTCAAGAGCGCCCAATAACGAGCCAAGATGGCCCCAAGACGGTCCCAAGATGGCCCGAGAGGCACCCCAGACGGCTCCACATCGCCCCAAGACGGCCCAAGAGGCACTCCAGACGGCCCAAGAGGGCCCCGAGAGACCCCAGGAGGACGAAAAGAGGCCCCCACACGGCCCCCAAGAAGCCTTCGATGCTTCTCTCTTGGGGAGCGTCGACGACTGACGATCGAAGATCGACGGGATGAAGGATTGAGGAGGAGGAGGAGGAGGAGGAGGAGGAGGAGGAGGACGCCCACAAGTGCCCCACAAGCCGACAGGACCCACCGATATGTCTCGAGAATGAGGCCCCAAGAGGGTCCAGACATACCGAGACGGCTACTAACGGAAATCGACGGGATGAAGGATCCAGGGGAGGACGAGGAGGGCGCCCAAACTGGCCCACAAGCCGAAAGGAGCCACAGAGATGTCCCGAGCATGCCCCGAAGAGGGCCCCAAGAGTGTCCAGACACCCCGAGAAGGCTCCTAACGCGCAGCCCAAGCACAGTTGCTCCAGTGTCCTGTCGGTGATCCTCCCGTGCGCTGGGCGTCTGAGCGTGCGGGCTGCCTCGGCGCCCTCCTGCTGGCTTGTTGGGCCGTCTAAACTCCAGGCGAACGAACAGGAACATGCCCGCGCCCGCCGGCCCCATTCTCACCACACCACCAGATAAAAGTATCATTCGGCCCTGGCGAAGAGCAGATCAAAGTATCACGGCCACCCGCCCCGCAGAAGCGATGACGAACACAGAGCGCGGCGTGAGAAACAGCTTCTGTCCACACCACGTCGTGCCTACATTGGCGTGCTTCCAGTGACACCGCCTCCACCACCGCGTTCCTGCCTTCAGGCCTGCTTGCCTGCATCCCTCGCCCACCTCCCCCTCCAGCGGCCACCTCCTCCATTCGCACCGTCCCCTCCAACCTCCCCTCCCCCGCGAGGCCCCGGAAACGCCCCACTTCCACGTCCACACCATGGCGGGCAGGTTCCGCGGCCAGAAGGCCACAGATCAGCCCTGGTTAGTTACAACGCTGCGATCAGCGCGTACGAGAAAGGCGAGCAGTGGCAGCGGGCGCTGGCGCTGCTGGGCGAGATACGGGAGGCGAAGATGGAGCCCGACGTCATCCTAATCTGAAGTCGGGCATGCCCCTTTGCAGGAGGAATATTCAAAAATAGTCCAAAAGAATAGTCCTGGGACGATTTGTCCAGAATGTCTTACCATCTTTGCGGATTGTTTGATATTTTGTCGTACAAAATCCGCCTGTAGGAGGACATGCCCGACCTAATCTGAAGCATAATACCGGACATTCCGTGTGCCGGACAGGTTCGGAGACCCCCAAACGGTGTGGTGACCACACCGTGCGGTGAGTCGGTGGGGATTCGGGGTCACCGCACGGTTTTGGGACTGGTAGTTCTCCGAGGACGTCTCGGGCGACAGGGGCCTCCGGGGTCCCAGGACCGTGCGGTGACGGACCGTGCAGTGAGGTCTTGCGGGATTTCGAGGTCACCGCACGGTCTGTCACCGCACGGTCTGTCGTGCTCTCATCATTCAACCCGAACCCTACTGCTCCTGCAGTTTCGGGCATCATGTGTCGTTTTGAGGTAGAGAGCGCTTTTTTACCCTAGACATATCACCTCTGGGATACAGGTTTGAAGCTTCAAGAAGCGTCTAGGAGGTACTTTCTTCGGAACCTCTGGGAGCCTTTTGGGGCCTTCTGGAGGCCTCTTGGAACAAGTGTTCTAGTTCCTTGGAGCGTCTTGTGGAGTCTGTGGGGCTTCTTCGAAGCCTCCTGGGGGCCTCTTTCGGGTGTTTGGTGGCCTCTTGCGGGCCTCTTGGGAGGAGCGGCACGGACGGTATGGGCATTTGCACAATGCCCAACATCGGATGTGGGCGAACAGCGCCGCTCCTCCTCCTCCTCCTCCCTACTCCCTCCTCCTCCTCCTCCTCCCCTCCTCCTCCCTCCTCCTCCTCCTCCCTCCTCCCTCCTCCTCCTCCTCCTCCTCCTCCTCCTCCTTCCTCCTCCTCCTCCTCCCTCCTCCTCCTCCTCCTCCTCCTCCTCCTCCTCCTCCTCTTGGGCCCCGCTTGGACCTCTGCTGCGCCATCAGGGCGGCGCCGGGAGGCTCCGGAAGCTACTTGGGAGCGAAACGACGCCTGGAGGCTCCAGAAGCTACTTGGGAGCGAAACGACGAGGTGGGCCTGGACGACCTCCAGAAAAAAAACAAAAACAAAAACAAAAAAAAAAAAAACGCCCCAACATCCCGAGAGAGGCGTCCAACGGGGTGGAGCAGTGGAGGCCTCCCCGGAGGCCTCCCCGGAGGGTCCAGGGGGAGGCCTCGGGAGGCCACACGGGAGGCGGAGGGCGGGCCTCCGCGAGGCCTCTCGCCTCTCGCCGCGGAGGGCCTCCGGCCGGGCCTCCAGAGGGTGGAGAGGAGGAAGATCAAGCAGTGGCGAAGCGTCCTGGCTCGCCCATAGCCCTACCAAACAATGCTCTAAGAACCTTTTGTGGCTTCCACGGAATGCTCTTAGAACATGTTTGGCTGGGGCTGTCTTGTTTTGACACATCGGGAATATGTTTTAAGAACATTTCTTTTGTTCTTAGAACATTTTGAGGTTCTAAGAACATTTCGTGGTAGGACTATAGGAATGCCAGGACGGTCGGCCCCTGCTCAAGGAGATTCGGGGGTGGACAGGCTTCCTACCCTGACACGTCGATCAAGGAATTGGCCGTTTTCGGTTCGCGGGAGGGCGTCGCGGCCGTCGTTTTTGCGGGTCCAGGTCCGTCGGTTTCGGTCCCAGGCCGTTTTCACGAAGGGGAGGTTTACCAAAGGGAGGTCAGCATTTCCTGTGCATTTTGAGCAGGATTCGCTGTCCGCGCCGCCGCGGCGTGTGCCCATTCGAGGTAGAAGGCCGCCTGCCCAACAGCGGCCGCTGTTGGTTCGGGACAACATTTGGTGTTGGGCATTGTGCCCAATGTTTGTCCGCACCCATCTCGGGAGTCCAAAGAGAAGGCCCCCACTAGTTTCTACAAGGTTCCTCGCTGCTCACTTCTCCTCCTCCTCCTCCTCCTCCTCCTCCTCCTCGCTCCTCCTCCTCCTCCTCCTCCTTCTCCTCCTCCTCCTCCTCCTCCTCCTTCCTCCTCCCCTCTCCTCCTCCTCCTCCTCCCCTCCTCCTCCTTCGCTCCTCGCTCCTCGCTCCTCGCTCCTCGCTCCTCGCTCCTCGCTCCTCGCTCCTCGCTCCTCCTCCTCCTCCTCCTCCTCCTCCTCCTCCTCGCTCCTCGCTCCTCCTCCTCGCTCCTCCTCCTCCTCCCTCCTCTCCTCCTCCTCCTCCTCCTCCTCCTCCTCCTCCTCGCTCCTCGCTCCTCGCTCCTCGCTCCTCCTCGCTCCTCGCTCCTCCTCCTCCTCCTCCTCCTCCTCCTCCTCCTCCTCCTCCTCCTCCTCCTCCTCCTGCTCCTCCTCCTCCTCCTTCTCCATGTGGCCTCCGAGAGGGCCACGGGGACAAAATATGGCCTCCTAGAGGGCCACGAGGACGATAGATTCGCTTACGATCACTACTTCGCGAAAAAGCCAAAAATCGTCCCCAGGGCGCCTAGGGAGCGCCCAAGAGAGCCCCCACGACGGTCCCGGAGCCCCTCGAAACGGCTGCGGGGATTCACAGAATTGCCGAACAGCCCCCGGGGACGGCAGTACCCCAGAGGTTCTTGGGAAAGCCCCCCACAGCTCCCTCGACACGGCTTTGAACACTGGCTCCAAGAAGACCTCCAGCAGCTCCCTCCAAACGGCTCCGATTGGACCTTAGAAAACACCAGCTGACTGGAAAAAAGCACGCCCCACACCTCTTGGGGCACCTTTCGCGCGGAAAGGGTTGCAGAAAATAGCTGTCCAATCCAGCCGCGGACACCCAGGAACGCTGTTTCTGGGACCCTTCCCGCGCCGAGCGCGTCCCAAAAGGTATGGGGTATGATTGTTTCCCAACATATTAGGCCTCTTCCTTCTCCTCCCCGTCGCCGCTGTCCTTCGCCAGAGGAGCTGCTATTCTGCTGGAGCTGCTGCCGCTGCTACTGGAACCGCACTGCTGCTGCTGGAGCTGCTGCTGTTGCTGCTGCCCTTGCCGCTGGGTCTACTGCCGCTGATACTGCTAGCGCTGCTCTGGACGCCGTCAGAACCATGAAGCAAACAGCGCACCCTGAAGCAATGAGCAGCAGCAAGCACAGACTGACAACCGGCACTTGTGGACGATAGTCCACGGGTCAGCCCTAGTCAGCTACAGCGTTGCCATCAGCGCGTGCGGGAAAGGTGAGCAGTGGCAGCGTGCTTTGGCGCTGCTCAGCGAGATGTATGGAGCGAAGGTGAAGCCCAATGTCATCTGTACTACAATGCCTGGGTCAGCGCGTGCGAGACTGCGCTGCCGTAGCTCGGCCCGGAACAGCTCCCGGCGGTCCTGGTCGGCCTTGGACGGCCGCTAGAAGGCTCCAAGACGTCCGACGACGGCTCAGAGGCGCTCCGAAGAGCCCCCAGAAGGCACCAAAGAACCCGAAGCGAGCATACAAATGGTTTAAGACGGCACCAAGACACTCCAGGAGGCCTCCCACGACGGCCAAGGAGAACCCCGATCTGTTTTCCCTCAGGTGCCCCAAACAATGCTTGCACTTAGGGGGTCTGAGGAACTGAGCTGTGTCTTCGGTCTGGCGGCTATGTGGCCACAGTCGCCGCCTCGTCGTTGCCCGTCGTCTGGGCCGTGTCTTCGGTCTGGCGGCTATGTGGCCGCCGTCTCCGCCCCGTCGCCGCCTCGTCGCCGCCTTGGATTGCACAACATAGGTTTTCCTTTCTGGAAAGAATAAGGATCCACCATCTCCCACCCCCCATGTTTTATCGATCCACACTTTCGTATTGCAATTGAGATGTGATTCTGCCCCATCGTCCATCCTAAATATGACCATTACCATCCCAGCCCAGCCACTATCGAGCCCCCCCCATCCTTTTTGCAAAAATTACTATGCGCGCACACTCGTTTATCAAAAATCGTCAGTCTTCAAGAATCCCTTGCAAAGAAAGGGACGAAGTGCACACGCGCGCGTCGTCGCGCGCGCATGCCGAAATCTCTGTTTCAAAAAAATCGGAAGGATTGCAGAATCGAGTGTCCAAAAAACATGTCTGAAAACAGAAACACATGTTTTCGCAACACGGATGTTTAGTTTCAGATATTGTAGTGGCCTTCGGCCAGTGCCGCCGATCCGGGTCGCTCGGGGTTATTCTCCAGACGCAGAAATTATGGGCGCACACTCAAACGCACACACACAGTCACACCACTTAACCTGCGCCGCAGACATGCGCACACAGCATCACCCACACACACATACTAGTTGGGAAACGCTCCTGTAGTACTAGTAGTAGTATTAGTAGTAGTAGTAGTAGTAGTAGTAGTAGTAGCAGTAGTAGTAGTAGTAGTAGTAGTAGTAGTGGTAGTAGTAGTAGTAGTAGTGGTTGTGGTAGTAGTGGTAGTAGTAGTAGAGGCCTCGTTCCGCGGCTTCTCTCGACTTCCCGCGGTCTCTCTCAAGTTTCGAGCACGCGGTGAGTTTCACGATATATGTGTGTGTATGTACGCGTGCATGCATGTATGCATGCATTGATCATGTGTGCCTGTGTGTAGGTACGTATGTATGTATGTATGCTTGTGCGCGTATGTATGTATTTAGTTTGTATGTATGTTTGTATGTGTGTATGATAATATGTGTGTATGTGTGTGAATGTAAGTATGTATGTCTGGAAGATTGTTTTTCTATGTATGCAAATGTGTTTAAATGTAGGTATGTATGCATGTGTGTATGGATGTGCGTTTGAAGAGCGAGGATGTTTCAAAGAAGAGGCACTCGGTGACGCGATCGTTGAGGGATAGGAGTGAGGTCGCAGAGGAGGAGGAGGAGAATGAGGAAGAGGCGATAACTTGAAGGAAAACGATGAGACGGAGGACATCCTGCCGGTGGCGCCCTGGGCGGTGCCGCGGAAGAAACCGGGGGCCTGCCGGAGGCAGTCTGGAGGCCTCTGGGGAGCTGTTTTGGGGCCTCTTGGAACCTCTTTTGGGCCTCTTGTGGGCTTCTTGGGGCCCCTTGGGGGTCTCTTGGGGCCTCCTGGGGGCCTCTTGGGGCGGAAAGCTCGGTTCTTTCGGTTCGTGGTCCCCCTCTTGGGCCCCTCTTGGGGCTCTCTTGGGGCCTTCTTGGGCTGTCCAGAGGCCCTCTTGGGCCGTCTTGGGGCCCTCTTGGGCCGTCTTGGGGCTCTCTTGGGCCGTGTTGGAAGCATCGTGGGCCGTCTTGGGACGGACTTGGGGGCCTCTTGGGCCGTCTTCGAGCGTCGGACGCCCGAAAAGGCAAGAACGCTAAAAACCCTGAGAAAACCAATGAAAATCAACGATTCTGGCCTCTTGGGGCCCTCTTGGGAGGCCTCTTGGAAGCTTCTTGGGGCGTCTTGGAGACACCTTGGGCCGTCTGGAGGCCATCTCGGGCGTCTTGGAGCGATTTTTCGGCGACTCGGGGCCCTCTTGGAACCCCTTGGGGGTCTCTTGGGCCCCCCCCCTCCTCCAAAGCGCCGGAAAAAGCGGAGCATGGCGCCCCCCCCCCCCCTATCTTCCACTCCCCCGGAGCGGCCCCGGGGTTCGCCGGAAACTCGCACCCCCCCCCCCCCCCCACCCCCCCTTCCCCGGCAGAGCCACCCCGGCGACCCCCCCAGAGGCTGAAGCTCAGCCTCGAGGCTGTAGCTGAGACTCCTTGAAACTCACACGCCGGATCGGCGGATTTTAGGATGTTCAGAAAATACTACCAAACGGGTTCCTTTGCGCGCATGCCATCGCGAGAACCTTGTGCGACAAATATCATCATCACGTCTACCGTAGTCGGCGTTGCCATGATACCGCGCCCGCCCGAGCCGCCGACTCGCAGTGAAATGCCCGCTGGGATGCGCCCAGCGGTCAGCGCCACCGCGGCCGCGTCGATGGCGCCAAGCTAGCTGGCTGCTGCGCGCGCGTGCTAGGGCTGGCGCGGCCGCGGAGATGCACCGGCCAACGCCAAGCATGCATCGCAATTGCCACCGCATGGGTTTTGCAAACCAAGTTGCGGGTGGGTGGGTGGGATGTTCCCAAGAGCATGGGGTGTGTCAACTCATGGGTGAAAATGAATTCTCGTTTCTAAAAGGAGAATAGATTCTCCCCCCCCCCCGGACTTATCCGTTCCCCTTTCGGGTATGTAAATCATATATGATTCTGACCACTCGTCCATCCTAAATATGAAATCAGATCATCCCAGCTAGGCCGGGCTCCCCCCCCCTGCGGCTCCTTTGCAAAAACCACTATGCGGTTACATTTTTTGTTCTAACATAACATTTGTTCACGAACCCATTGCAAAAAATGGGACGAAGTGCACACGCGCGCGTCGTCGCGCGCGCATGCCGAAATCCTTCAAAAACCTTCGGTGCCGGAAGGATTTCGCAATCGAGTTTCCAAAAAACATGCAAAAAAACACAGGGTTTCGCAACACTGATTTGCTAAAAAAGCTTCCGCGCGAGCTCTTGCGAAATCTTAAGACAACCATAAGTTCTTCAAGATTTTGACAAAATGCTACCAAACGGGCTTCGCGCGCGCATGTCGAAATCTGTCGAACGCCCTTGCGCGTGTGCCGTCGCGAGAATCCTCTGCAAAAAATGGGACGAAGTGCAGACGCGCGCGTCGTCGCGGGCGTACGCCGAAAACCTTCAAAACCCATCGGTTTCGGAAGGATTTCAAAATCGTGCGTCCAAAAACCTACAAAAACCCAAGGTTTCGCAACACGGATTTTCAACAAAAGCGTGCGCGCGCGCTCTTGCGTCGTCGTCGTCGTCGTCGCCGTCCTCCCTCCTCCCGCGTCGTCGTCGTCGTCGTCGCCTACGTCGTCCTCTGTCTTTCCTCGTGTTCGTCGTCGTCGTCCTCTTTGGCGTCGTGGTCGTTTCCGTCGTCGTTGTCGCCGTGGTCGTCCGTCCTCCTCCTCCCACGTCGTCGTCGTCGTCCGTCGTCGGCGTCTCGTCGTCGGTTCTATTTCGTCACCGTCGTCGTCGTCGTTGTCGTCGTCGTCTTCCCTCCTCCCTCGTCGTTGTCGTCGTCGGCGTCGCCGTCCTTCCTCCTTCGTCGTCGTTCGCGTCGTGGCCGTCCTCCCTCGTCGTTGTCGTCGTTGTCGTCGTTGTCGCCGTCGTCGTCCTTCCTCCTCCCTCGTCGTCGCCTTCGTTGGCGTCGTCGTCGTCGTCTTCGTCGTCGTCGGCGTCGGCGTCGTTGTCGTCGTCGAAGTCGTCGGAGACGTCGTCGGTGTCGTCGTCATCGTTGTCGTCGGTGTTGTCGTAGTCGGTCTTAAGAGGTGTTGCAAACCAAGTTGCGGGTGGGAGGGTGGGATGTTTGCGCGAGCAGTGGAGGGGACAGCTTCAAGTTGAGCAAGTGATTGATTCCGCCGCATAGATTGCACCACAAAGATTGCACCGCATATATTGCACCACGCTGAGTGCATCACATAGCCTGCAACATAGAGTGCACCACCTGCATTACACCGCATAGAGTGCACAGCATAACTTGCACCACATTGGATGCACCTCACAGATGCACCACATGGGTTGCACAACACATATTGCATCACATAGAGCATACAACATACAATTGCACAACGTAAGTTGCATCACACACATTGCACAATCTATGTTGCACAACACATTGTACCACATAGGTTGCACCATCTAGGCTGCACCACACGAGATGCACAGCAGAGCGCACAACATACAATCCCCGTTGATAAAAAGTAAGATATACCCCCCCCCGGATTTAATAGCACACCGTTTCGTATGTGTTTCCGTTGTCCTTAAATGTGTCTGCACACTCGTGCATCCGAAATACACACTCATACCATCCCAGGCCGTTTTTTTTTTATCGGCTCCCCATTCATCTCCTGCAGAAGAGATTGTGCGCACACTTGTTTCGCACAAGTCTTAAGCTTCAAGAGCGCGTTGCAATAAGAATGATAATGTGCACCGCGCGCGTCGTGGCGCGCGAATGACGAAATCGTTCGAAAACAGTCGGTTCGCAAGGATTGCAAAAAACCACAGGTTTCCCAACATGTTCATCACATGCTACCACACGTATTTCTCGCACGCGCATGTCGGCATCATTTTAACGTTGTTTACGCGCATGCTGTCGCAAGATCCCTTTTTTCCAAAGAACGGGACGAAGAGCACTTGCGCGCGTGTTCGCTCGCGCATACCGAAACCCGTCACAAGCTTCAGATTTCGTAAGGGTTTCAAAAATCCCATGCAGGCCCCTCGCGCGCGTCGGCTGCGCGCGCATATCGAATTCGTTCCAAAACTTT